ATCTGGACTGGCCTGGGATGTGTTCTTAACAGACAACTTCTCTTTTATATCAAGCTCTCTTTTACACCCTTGAGTGTCTCTGGATTTCTCTAGTCAACCCGGTCTCACACACCTCTATTCACTGAAATAAATAAAAAATAAGTATAATCGGAACTCTATTCTCCATAAGACGCTGAACATGGCAGGAAATGGACACATTTGGTTTTGCGCACAAGGCAGAGGAGCAGCGACGAGCGAGCGAGCTTGGAACCCAACCTCCAAGATCCGAGCTCACTGCCATCGCGTCCGCTGGGACTCAAGCAACGCCCTGTGAGCTTCCAAGGCTGCGACTCTTCAGAGGAATCAAACGCCACGTCTTTCTCCTGCAAAGCAGCCGGTGGTTTCGAACTGCTCACCTTGCAGATGCAAGCCCAAAGCGTAACCACTACACCACCAGGGCTCCATCATACTGAAACAGTGGCAAGTTATTATATAGTTGGGAGCAAATTGTAAATGAGTTAAGGAGGTTGAAAGGATTTCGAAGAAGGGGCAGCAACACCGGGCTCAAGCGCAGGACTGGGCGGTTTCTCCTGTTGTGCTTGGGGGGCCGTGATGAGTCGGAACCGGCTCTCCAGTTGACATCAAGCAGACTCCAGCTCGTGGGGACCCATGTGTGTCACGGCAGAGCAGCGCCCCCACGGGACCTGCCGTGCTGACAAGACTGAAGATCACCAGGCGACTCAGGGTGAACTTGGACCTCCGACCTCTGAGTGAGCAGCCGAATGTGTCGCCCACCTGTACCCCCCAGGGTCTCTGAGGCAGGAGTCCTTCCAAAAGCTGGGATTGGAGATCAGCGCAGGAAAGCATGACTTCGGAGGGGCCCCGGTCAGCCCGGGGATGAGGGACAGGTGACCACCTGCAGGAGAGCCAGGCTTTGAGACCGTATCGTCCTTCTTCTCCATGGTTCAACGCAAGGGTCCTTCGCCATGACTTGTACGCCCTATCAGCTGCATTGTGCCGTCCACCAGAAGGTCGTGGTTGCAACTCCATGGGAGAAAGACGAGATTGTCTGCGCTTGAAAAACTTCACAGAGCCTCGGAAACCCTCTCTGAGCTCACTATACATCAAAACTGACTTGAGAGGCAGTATTTTTTTTCTTTTTTAAGCCTCTAGGGAAGGAGATGCATTAAAAATAGGAAAGAACCAACTCATAAACTAAATAAACCTCTTGACTTCTGAAGACGCCCTCGTGGCTTAGTGGTTACACACTGGACTGCTAACCTCACAGTGAGCAGTTCAAAACCACCAACCGCTCCTCAGGAGAAAGATGAGGCTTTCTACTCCCATGAAGAGTTACAGCCTCAGAAACCCACAGGGGCAGGTCTTCCCTGGCCTGTAGGATTCACTCTGAATCAGCATCGACTCGATGGTGTTGAGTTTGGTTTGGTTTGACTTCTGAAATAACAGAAAGTCAAAACTCTACGTAGTTAATTAAGGAAACCATCAAGTCCGCTCTGACTCGTGGTGATCCTACAGGACAGCGTAGAACTTTCCCATCTGGTTTCCACAGCTGTGACTTTTACATAAACAGACTGCCTCGTCTTTGTCTCTCTGAGCAGCTGATGGATTCAAACCACTGACCTTTCAGTTAGCAGCTGAGATGGTAACTGCTATGCCACTAGTGCTCCTTAGAAGAGACCTGACATTCTAACTTGTTTACAGTTGACGAGATTGGAACCCACAAAGCTAAGGGCATCATCGTTCACACACTCTATGTGCTGAAGTTGCAGGCTCTGGCTTCAGACACAAATGAGCCACAAATTATTTTCCCCCAGAACTGTTGAAGAGCGAGCTTGCCACATACTTAGCTACAAACAACTTCCCACGCATGTCTCAAAGACTCGTAGTGAGTTATTATAGCAGTTACACAATCTCCTGTCAACTTGTGAAGGGGTGGAGTCTAACCTGTCAATCAGGTCATAGCCAATCATGCCTCTGTGCGGGCGTGGCTTTCTCCGGAGGATCCTGGGAATTCCTGTCTTCCTCCCTGGAGGAGGGACACAACTCTCTTTGCTTCACAGTCCTGATGACAAGCCACATGGAGCTACCCTGATGGAGCCAGTGCCCTGGAGCTGGAGGAGCCACGTAGAAACCCACGCCAGTGCTGAGATGCTTCCACCACCACTGGATCCACAAGACTTTCCACCCACTGGCCTGTGATCTTCTTGGATTCAGCCACATTGCATATGTTGCGTGAGTCTAAAGAGGAATTTATAGACTGGTATTGGACATAGGGCTAATATCAGACTAATGGACTTGATCTGGACTGGGCTGGGATGTTTCCTCAATATACAATTGCTCTTTTATATAAAGCTCTTTCTTATACACATGCGAGTGTCTGAATTTGTTTCTCTCATCAACCCGGACTAACACAGTTATCTTTGAGAAAAATCTCTGCAGAGCCAAAAATAACATAAATCCCTGAAGAGCAAAAGCAACAATAAGACAGAAAAGTGAGCGCAATCAGACAGCACTCTCGTCGTGCAACAGCTCTCGGAAACAGCAGAAAGTGAGTTACATTTACAATACCCATGGGGTTCAGGCCAACACACAAAATAGAACTAACTACTGCTTAGGGTTCTCCATCTCTCTTTAGTGGTTAGTAGTCCAATACTTAACCTACCTTGCCAGCAGGGCTCCTTACATTTACAAACAGGCACACTCCTGCCCATACTCTTCGAAGGAACAGGCAAGGCTGCAGTGTACCGACGGTCCGGGTACGCCACTTACCGCTTCTATGATGACCGAGTAGGGCGTCCTGGCTGTGAAGACGAAGCCCAGCTTCTTAGCTCCTTTCACCAGAGCAGCTTCGTCTGTCAGTAAAAAAAAATCTGATGAGCAATGGGAAGGCCATGAGCACCCAAAAATCCATCTGCAGACATTCCACTGGAACAAGCTTCCATGGAAGACCCCTGGGCCATGAACCAGGGACGTGAAGAGCCCTGTCCACAGACAGAGTACATCAGAAAGTGAATTGCTGCAGAATAAACTCCCTGCCACCCAATCGCTGCCAGCTCATAGGAGCCCTGTGGGACAGGGGAGAGCTGTTCCTGTGGGATTCTGGGATTGCACCTCTTTATGGAGGAGAACGTCCCGCCAATCTCCCGCTGAGCGGCTGGTGGTTTCCAACAGTGTGCTTAGCAGTCCGATGCATCACCACTAACCCCACATTTAGCTGGGTTAAAATTTAACATCTTGCCATGTGTTTTCCCTTTGAGTCTGCTCTGAGTTCCCCCATTTATGATCTTCTGCTCTCTTTGGGATTGAACATAAACGTCGCGAGGGTCATCGAACAAGCTGTACAGCTATTGTTAAATGAAAACCTGACCTGCTGCGTGCGCGTTGACTGAAAACACAGGAACTGCTGACTTAAATAAATAACGAGTTTGATGAGTCACAGACTAACGAAGCATCATGATGGAACGAATGCTGCAGGTCCCCAGTAAGACGTAACAAGCTCACACCCATGAGAGAGGCGTGGTCTTCTCTGAAAGCGCCGTCCCAGGAAGGCACCAACTCTTCGCAGATGTTGTGAATGGGCGCTGCTGGCCAAAGGGATGACTCCAACTTGAAGCTCATTCATCAGGACAAAGCTGAATGACATTCCTGCCAACTCTGATTGGGGTCAAGTCCTAGCTAATTAGCCTACTCAGTGGTCTCCTTCATTTGGGACTCATTGTCTTCTCTGAGCAAGACAATGGTTCACACCTCAGAGGAGGCTAAGGCACCCAGACACCAAGACAAATGAATGTTTCTATCCTACAGTGAGGACACCCATGAGGTGTTGGGTTCAGCAACAATAAAAAAAAAATTTTAACAGCTCTGTCTCTCCTTCAGAGCCTCCTGTATCTCTCCGGTTTCTCTTGGGAGAAGCAAGAGGACCTGTTTCTCTTCCTGTCACCAACGAGACAGCATCTACCTGCTCTCTGTGGTCCTAACACCTGTCCCCATCACCTGCACAAGGTATGAGGCCAGTGGAGTCTTTCTGAGGCAGGCCACACCAGCACACCTTCCATCAATAGGGGCAAACACGCACATCTCCCGAGAAGGGACAGCACGGCTTACCTGAGGGGATGCTCACCTGGAGAGGAGGCCTGGTAGATAATCTCATCTCCATCCTTCTCAGGAACCACCGTGTGGCACACAGCCAGGAGGGTAAGGAACTCCTGGATGCATGGGGCCGTGGGCTGCAAAACACCATGCCAGGTTAATCCATCTATTCCAGTACAACTGAGGCTCGCCTGAGCCAAAGTCTTGTCTATATTCTGAAATGCCGTCATTTGAATGCCATTTTATATCCTTGATGAATCATGGGACTTAGTGCAGCTTTCAGATATTGTAACTTCAGAAGTATATATGATATAAACTTAAAAACCCAAAACAAACCCCCTGCAGGACAGGGTGGACCTGCCCTGGTGAGTTTCTGAGACTATAGCTCTTTCCAGGTGTAGAAAGCCCCACCTTTCTTCTGAGGAGTGCCTGCCTCCATGAAATAAATTCAACTTAAAACTTTTATCAAAAATTCAGAAGAGGAAACCAGCACACAAAAGTCAACTCATGGAGATAAGAAGGAAATGACATCAAGATGTCTAGGAAGGAAAAGTATGTTTGGAGACTGATTATGGAAGCAATTCTACAATTATGTTGGACGTGATTGAATTATGGAATGATATGACATATGTATTAATTCCCAAGTTACAGCAAATTGAAAGAAAAAAAAACATAGTTCCAGGAATGGGTTCTGGGCTCACACTAAATCCTAGCTCCAACTTAAGAACAATTAGTTCTTACATCATGGCACTGCTCAATACTCCACTTTATGAAGTGATCATTGGAGACAGGGGCTACAGCAAAGTGTGGTGAAGAAAGCAGATGGTGCCCGGCTAGCAAACAGTATAGTGTCTGGGACCTTAAAAGCTTGTATTTAAACAAGCAGTCATCTAAGTGAGGAGTCAACTAAGTAAGTCCACACAGAAGAAGCACACCAGCTTGTGTGATCCAAAGGTGACAACTCGGATATGGTGAAGAGAAAAGTATCAGAGCTACAATTATGAACACCCAATTTGGAGAAGGCTGTAGAGGGCAGTGGAGGCCAAAACCTATCTGCAGAGGATCTCGTCTGACCAAACCATTGGCAGATCTACTCTAGCCAAAGGCAAGCGTCCCAAACAGCCTTACTATCAGGCAGAGAGCATTGTAATCTTGATGATTTAGGATCGAACTTGGTACTTGGACAGTTGACCGCCCTATAGACATGACCTGGATTAGTCCTGGGGCAAGTATCTCTTAGTTGTCCCATGACAGACATTGCCTCCCTGGTTGTTTGAATGCTGATGGGGGTCTTCTCCCTCTTAGGCATCAGTTGTATTTTTGTCTTTATACCCATGTGATCATATCCTTACCACCTTAGTGCAATTTGTTTTTCACTGTTTTCTGTTGGGTTTCCCAGCTGTGAAGCACAGGAGGAGTGGATGTGTAATGATAATAACCGATACAAGGTGTTGTGGGGAATGCTGGGTGGGATGGGCGCTGGGGAGGGAAGGAGGTTACTGGAGTGAATGGTGAAGGAGGGAGGGGGCAGGGAGCAGTTAGAACTGACAGTGATTGGACAGCTCAGTTTGAAGGCAATGTGACCAAGGGGTGGGGGGGTGAGTAAGACTCAAACACAGATGTGGCAGTGATTATGCAGCTCCCCTTGATGTGATTGAACTATTCAATTGTATGATATGTAAACTACGTGCCAATAAAACTGTTAGGGAAAAAAACAGAAAAGAGGGGGGAAAAGAAATTATGGATAGCGTTGAGAAGAACTGGAATTCAAGAACAGGTCATTGTGCTCCCGTTGGATGGATTGATCCACAAAATGGGGCACATCCCTAGAACGGAATGTTCATCCCTACAGGGAAATGAATTCTAGATACAGCCCATGGCATTGGGTGAAGATGAAGCAAACATTATTCCGATTGAAGTAATTCAGACACAAATGGGCAAATAGGGCACGATGACAGGAAAAATCCGCAAATGCGTACAGCAAGTTTGTGCATGGTTCCTAGCGGCTGCGGGCGGGGGGCGTTGTTGGTGGATGGCTCCTGAGTTTCTGTTTGAGGGGATGCACCACCGGTGGAAAAAACAGTGGTGATGGAGGCACGCGATAGGCTGTAGCTCACGCCACAGCACTTCCACAGGAGACCAGCGAACGTGGCAGACGCCCGGGTATAAGTTATCACAATCACCGTTTCTTTGGGGGCAAACAGAAGCACGGCTTTGGCATTTTACTGGCAGCCCATCGTGGGCAAGCTCGTTGAGCTCACTCCACTTGCGTATGCTGTCAGCAAAATGAAGGAAGGGTATCCCTTGTCTATAAAACAAAACTACTCACGGCCATGGAGCCGATTCCGACTCCTGGCGATGCTAAAGGGCAGGCAGGACTACCTGTCGTGCATGTGGGGGACTGTAGCTCTGCGTGGGACCAGGAAGCCCCTCCTTCTCCCAGAGTTTCCGGTGGTTCAGAGCTGCTGGCCTTGCCGTTTGAAACCCAGCGAGTAGCCACGGCCCCCCCAGGGCTCCTACCTTCAGGGAAGCTTATTGAGGCCAACAGGACTGGGGGCTCGAGTGCAGCACTTCAGGAAGCACTGAAAACCTGAAAGCAGGCAGCTTGGGTGGTCGAACTCACCGCAACCAACACTGCCCGGCCCTGCTCCATCCCCCCAAATGTTCTGTTTGAGCCTGTCGTGTTGAGCACTCTGTCCATCCAGCCTGTCAATGGTCTGTTTAAGAGAACAAGTGAACATGGACACACATACACGTGCCATTTTGACATCTGTCTGCTCTGTTCTGAGCTCAGAGGGTGGCTGTATCTGGGCAAGAGAAAGCTCCCTGTGTTCCACGTCCTCGAAACTTCCCCAGATCCTATCGCTGCTGCGCTCAGGAAGCAAGGGGGTCACGGGCCCTTTATCACAGCGAGTCACCACCTAAGACATGCTGGATGGCCAGCGATGGTAGCAGAGAACATGAGTGAGCTTACTTTACGGGACAACTGCTGTGGATACGTAGGGATCTGGAGCAACAAAGCCGGGTCAGCAGACTGAGGATGGTTTCACCAGCACAGGGCTGAAGAAAGACGGTAGGGCAGAGCAGGGCAAGCCCGCCTGCCTTCCCACCCACACAAGCCTCAGTCTAAGGCGAACTGTGTCCGGCCAGGTTGTCTAGAGAAACAAATTCCGTGACACTCATTTATGTAGGAGAAAGGGCATCACCCCAAGCAGTGGTTTTATATCAAGAAGGCACCCCCGCCCCTGGGTCTGGCATTAGCCTGGGCCTCCTTCAGACTCAGGTGGCTGCGAGCAAACGATGCAAAAAGGTGAACCGGGAAGCAGGGAGATCACAGATTGGTGGAAACGTGGCGGGCAGCCTACAGGGCCCACTGAGGCCAACCCTGGAGGCAGCATCCCAGGAGGCAGGAAGGCAGAGTCTCAGAGGGAAGTTCCACGTTTCTGCTTCAAAGGTCACACCCTCAAGGTGACATTATCAGGCTATGACCCGATTGACAGGTTGGACTTCCACCCCTACACTTTCATAAACATTCCCACTGTCCGAAGGGATCAGGTGTAAGACATCATCAGAACAAAATATCTTACCATAGTGAATGATGGGGGGAGTGCGGAGTGGAGATCCAAAGCCCATTAGTAGGCCACTGGAGAGCCCCTTGCAGAGGGGTCTCGGGGAGGAGACGAGCCAGTCAGGGTGCGATGTAACAACGATGAGAAATACAACTTTCCTCTAGTTCCTAAATGTTTCCTCCCCGCTTCCACTACCATGATACGAATTCTACCTTGCAAGTCTGGCTAGACCAGAGGAGGTACACTGGTACAGATAGGAACTGAAAATACAGGGAATCCAGGGCGGATGAGCCCTACAGGACCAGTGGTGTGAGTGGCGAAACAGGGAGGGTAGAGGGAGAGTGGGTAGGAAAGAGGGAACCGATTACAAGGAACTATATGTGACCTCCTCCCTGGGGGACAGACAACCGAGGAGTGGGTGAAGGGAGACATCGGACAGGGCAAGATATGACAAAATACCAATTTATAAACTATCAAGGGCTCATGAGGGAGGGGGGAGCGGGGAGGGAGGGGAAAAATGAGGACCTAATGACGGGGGTTTAAGTGGAGAGAAAATGTTTTGAGAATGATGTACAAATGCGCTTTACACGATTGATGTGTGTATGGATTGCGATAACAGTTGTATGAGCCCCTAATAAAATGTTTTTAAAAATTCCCATTGTCATAAAATCATCCAACTATCACCTCGACGATTCACATCCCGACATGGGCGAGGAAGCGTTCCAATAACTCAATGAGCCCTGGGGGTGATGCCAGCGGGAGCGGAGAGAGGGAGACGGGTGGGCTTCCTCACCCTTTCTGTTACCATCCACATGCTCTGCAAACCCACGCGTCTCTAACCACGATGAAGGAATGATTCCAGGAAGAAGGATCCGAGCCAAGAAGACGAGGCTGGTCTTGCAGACAGAGCCCTTTCCAGCTGGTCACCTGGACCAGGCTCAGCTTCTGAAGGGACGGAAAGAGCAGCGGGAGGGTGCAGGCCCCACCCCACTCACGCATCGGGCAGGCAGCTCTGCCCTGGAGGCACCCACCACCCAGCGGGAAGGGAGAGCGGGTGAGAGTGGGCCGGCTGAGCTCTCTTGCACTCGGCACAGAAAGGGCCACGTTGGCTTGCTTGAGCTACCTACCGCATCTGCTAGAATGCTGTTCCGGCCCAAGAAAGACGACTTCCCTAGGGTTGCTTTTAAGAGAACGCTATGGGAAGTTCGAAGTTAGGTAACTGAAAATCTTCCAAATGTTTCTGACTCACGGAAGTAATAGCTGCTGATATTTTAAAAAAATGAACTCACTACCATGGAGTCTGACTCCGAGCGACCGTATGGGACAGGGTAGAGCTGCCCCTGTGGGATTCTGAGACTGTCCCTCTTGGTGGGAGTAGAAAGCCTCCTCTCTCTCCCCCTACATACTCACGGCAAAGAAAAATATTTAAAAAGCACAATTCTAGAGGGAGAAGATAAAATTACAGAGCAGGATCCACCCTGATCACCATGCAGGAATAATCACTACTGATTCTGGACACGGAACCTGACAGATGCTCTGGACGCAAAGGTGTCCACTTGTGTGCTGCT